GCATGTCAAAGTGTTGGTGCCAGGGACAATGAGCGGCTGCGCACGCTTGGGTGTGCGATCAAATTTGATCTTGCAGCCAAAACCCGTGTGCGCAGGCGTCTGCTGCCGCCTGGGCGCGCGTGCAGACTACAGATGCGGCGGATAAATTATGCGTGGTGCGCGCGTGCAAGCGCGCCTCTGTCTGGCTATAGCACGCGCGCGTATGGCAGGCTGAGGTGTGCGATCAAACCTGATCCCACAGTCACGTGGAGTCATGATTGGGTGTGCGATCAAATCTGATCTCACAGTCTTGGGTCATGTGCAGGCGTGACTGGGTGTGCGATCAAATCTGATCCCACAGTCACGTGCAGTCATGATTGGGTGTGCAATCAAATCTGATCTCACAGTCACGTGCAGGCGTGGTTGGGGCGTGCGATCAAATCTGATCTCACAGTCACGTGCAGGCGTGGTTGGGTGTGCGATCAAATTTGATCTCGCAGTCGAACCCTGTGCACGCCTGGCGCGCATCGCGCGCAGACTACGGATGCAGCGGATAAATTACGCGTGGTGCGCACGCGCGCGTATGGCAAGCTGGGGTGTGCGATCAAATCTGATCTCACAGTCACGTGCGGGCGTGGTTGTGTGTGCGATCGGTGGTTGGGTGTGCAATCAAATCTGATCTCACAGTCACGCCTGTGTGCGCGCGCGCTACCGGCCAAGAACGCGCCAGCGCTGCGCACAGACTACAGATGCAGCGGTTAAATTATGTGTGGTGCACGCGCGCGCCTCTGGCTGGAGCACGCGCACTCCCGGCCGAGAAAGAGGGACGCGGCGGCGCGTATGGCGCGTATGGCACCGTATGGCAGAAATCTGACTGCGCACTTTTACGGCATAAAATCTTCAAAATGTGCTCCACAGACCTCCAGCACGCGTCTTTTTGGCAGTGTGCGGCCTAGTTCACGGCGTAAAATCCTCGACTTATACCAGTAGGCGGGAGCTGGGGGAGCTGCTGGACTGCCCTGCAAGATGTGAACGCGCATGAAGCGCGGGGTGCTTGCGGGGACGGTCGGTTGCGGAGGAGGCGTGTCGTCACCCCATAGTTTGCCGCTGTCTTTGCCATCATCTCCTCTGAGATAGTGCAGCCACTCGCGCTTGTGGTCGGCGTTACTGCAAAAGCCAACAGCAACAGCAACCGTGTGACTTGGCTGAACAATGCAACTCACCCGAGTATCACTGCCGTGGTGCCACCGACCTTGTCCGAAACCGCGGCCTTGGCCTCTTTGGGGACACTGCATACTCGCTTCGCAAGCATACACGACGGGCAACCATATGGCTGTAGGACGCGAGGTTCTCCGTCGTCGGACGCAGACAGTCCGCGCTAGCCGTCGCGCAATGCTTGCAGCAATGCTCAACAAACACGGACACGCACATCTCCACGAGACGCAGGTGCTCCACCTGCCCGACACAACCTCAGTCAGCCGCCGCGTCCTCCAAAACAACCATCGCCGCACGATCCCGGTACACTCACCGCCAAATCGAATACTTTGAGCATTTAGTCCTCACGATATCCGCAAGGAGGCTTCCCGGCCATCATCTGTGCCGAGGTCTTTGGTTTGGCGCTTGCGGCGTTGCGGTTGAGGAGACGCTGGCAGAGAGCTACTCGGCCTCTGCCAGAAGCGTGGCATTGTTTTTTGCGGAGCGAGTGGAAGGTGTCATGTTGGCGTGGCTAACGGGTTGAGTATTGGAAATTGACGTCGTCGCAGGGGTGAGTCAAATGGTCCAGGTAATGGTGGTTAACGGCGTCGCAGCGACTGCCCCGCCAGCGCCCCTATTGAACACGCAGCGCGACACGTAAGCGCTTGCTCCCGACAACACACAGCCACCAATAGAGAGTAGCCATTTTGCGGTGTGACCTCTGCAAAATCAGCTCACAAAGACGGCCGAACGCGTACTTTTGGCGGGAGCGCGTGGGTTGCGGCTCAGCATCGTGCTCGCACGCGTGCAACAAATCTCAGCTAACAAAATGCCCAACACAACGTCTCGTCTTTTTCGTCGTCCTGGATATTTGGCTCCTGCATGGCTTTGACGACATCACGCAAGGTTGGATGGACGCGCGGTCACTAACCCTGACACAAACAACTCTTTGGAAACCCCGCTTGCAAACGACGCGCGTATCCCACATTCTTTTGGAAACGCCACGTGCGGGTCAATATTTTCGGCAATGCGTGCGAGCAAGAATACCATCCACGAATTCTTTGGCGAAGCGCGCTCGCGTGATCCTGGGCAAAGGCCAGTCTCCATCGCATGATGGAGGTTCCAACTCAAGACCTGCGACGAGCGCTGCGTCTCAGGGGTGACACGCAGGTCACGTGGCACGCTCTAACTAAAGCTCGCAAATACCTGCTGCACGCGGGCGCATGGGTGCTTCGGCTCTCGTGACCGCCCAAGCAGATTCTTTGGCAACGCGTGTGCGGGCGCAAATCTTTGACAACGCGCGGGGGATTCTTTTGCAACGCGCGCGGGCGCAGACATCTTTGGCAACGCACGCGTATAAAAGGATTCTTTAGCAACTCGGCGCGCGCGCAAGGATTCTTTGGCAATCACGTGAATGCACGCGCAAGAATTCTTTTGCAACCCGCGCGCGCAACAACTTCTTGGCAATGCGCGCGATCTGCACACATTGTGATTCCGGTCACCTGGCCTTGAATGGGTGTCTCAATGCCATTATCGTGGTGCACAACGAAGCGTGGCACACTCGTGACTGCTGCAGTGGTGAATGGAACGGTGCAAGTACGGATGCGGGGCAGGTTCTCGATCAAGTGCATGTTGATCAGCACGTCCTGGACCGTCCCTCGCAAACAAGAAAGCATCGAGATCGTCGAGAAAGTCGAGCGAGCCACGCGCGGGGCGTCGAGGTGCCCCTTCCACGGCCTGCCACGGATCACTCCGTTTACCTGAATCGCCGTCTCCGCAGCCATTTGGTCTGTGCCCCTCATGCCCATTCCCGTCCAGCCCGGCCCGGCCCCATTCTTGAGCAAAGGGGGCGGGATTGCGCAACCGGCGCCACTGGCTCGGATGAAAAGTGTCGATGTGAACGGCACATGCTGCTGTAGACCGATAATTTGACGAAGGACGGAGTCGTCGCTGAGTGAGGTGCCAAGGCGTTCGTGTTCACGCTGCTCGCAATGACATTCATCCTCGTGGCGTGGAGCGCCTGGACCCGTGCAAGATTTCGCGACGGTCCAGTCGAGACCAATGGACCGCTACTGCGGTCGATTGTTGTGATCAGAGGAGGTTCTATCAGCACCATTGTGAGCCAGGAGGTTGTGTCCAGCGCCAAATAGACCAGGCCAGGCCTGATGGCGCGCGACTCCGTCTCGGCTGACGGCATAGCCTTCAAATGGTCCGACAAGACCGTGGCCTGATTTGAATCCCGCTCAATACTGCCTTTGTGTAGTCAGGAGACAATGTTCTCAACATCGAGAGGGACGAGCCGTTTGGGGAGATGCTGATGAGATTGCAGGGCGACGCGGGGGTCGCGATCAAGATGCGCGCGCGCCTGCAGGACCACGTTGCATGGCTTGAAGAAGGGCGCGACGGTACGGGACGACGGCGATGGGTCAGTGCCGCAGGCGCTCGATATTCGCAAAGCAAGAATCCTGGCGAGGTTCCCGGTCAAGAACACCGATCAAATACGTTTGTGTGGGGTCTTGAGTCAAGGATCACTTGGGTCACGAAAATTTCAGAATGTCAATGACAAGCAGATGTATACATCGGCCTTTGTAGCTAGACCAGTGACCGTCGCTCGGAACAAAGAGTCAAGCCATCCCTCTTCGCCTCGCGGCCACGACGCAAGCAGTGAGGACACGAGATCTCGACGCTATCAGCGCCTTGAAGGCGGAAGATTATCCTTCAAGCACAAATTTTGACTCGAAAACGCTCTCGTGTCGCGCCCCATGTCAGAACCGCGCTCGCAGGCGTTTGGCGGACGTGGCCCCGCCTCGAGGGCGAGTGCGAGTGCGAGTGCGAGTGCGACCGGGCCTTGGCGCCATTCGCGCGAATGAGGCGACCGCACTTGATGTTCGTCGCAAACCACTGCCTTTTATGGTTCGGTCTGCTAGCCTGAGTCCAGTGTTCGTCCCTCTTCCCGGCCTAGACGCCTCGATCCATAGGTCAGTACAGCGTACCCGGCGTGACAGCGTACCCGGCATACCGCACACCTCAAGATGCTGCTCCAGCGTAGTTTTCAAGGCGCATTCGACATTACGGGAGCTCAACGTGGACAATTGCTTTTGCGCTAGGCAATCAAATGCACGAACGCAGTGCATGCGAAGCAGTCAGAGTCACAATTGCGAGTCACGAGTCAAGAGTCAAAAAGGAGCTTCAGTCAGATGTTGACTTTTTGAGCGCAAATCACGGGGGCATCGCAACGTATCACGTGCTGCTGGCCAGATCTCTTTGCGCATCGCGTGCGTGCGCGCGTGAGGCAGTGCCGCTGAAAGCGAGCGACGTGCGCGCTATCCGCGCGACTCGCGAGCATGCAGGACCTTCTCCCCCACTCACCACCATCCGACACAACGCGCGCCCCGCGCACCAGCGCCATGCAGACGTATCCCAAAGCCATCGATGAATGGCGAGGCAGACACATTGTGGTGAGCTCTGCCAGCGGACAGTCGCTGTGTCACGTCCCGCTGGAATGGTTGTTGCAGTGCGGGGCGCCAGACTGCTGCGAGCTATTGCGATGGATGGTGGGTGTGTGCGTGGTGGAGGATGGCAAGCTGAGCGATGCGGATGGGGCAAGGGTGGATGCGGCTTCTTTGCTGGCATGTGCGGATCAAGTTGTCCGACTACTGTACACTCGCACAGGTGAGTTTGCAACGTGGCAGCGGGTGCCGGGTGCCGGGTGCCGGGTGCGCCCCCACCAACTGCTCTTCCACGCACGCACTCCCTGCACAGATGGCCAAGCGCAACCCTTCACCTACACCAAGGGGCCCCGCTTCAAGTACGCTCGCAGACCACCCGCCGCTGATGCGGAGCAGAGCACAATGAGCCACTCGAGTCGCTCTAGCACGAATCAGGTGAGTGGGTGCGCGTGGGCGTGGGCGTGTGTGTGTGCGTGTGCGTGCGCGCGCGTGCGCGTAGCACCTGGCCCTGTCTCGCTTGCCGTGCTCACTGGCCACCCACAGTCTGCATTCCGATTCCGTGTAGCGGTGCGGGACTTTTCGTGTCTGCTGACGGGCGACCCAGCAGAAGAGTGCGTCGCTGCCCACATCATCCCTCAAAGTCGACCAGAGGTGGGTTGCGGATGGTTGTACACATTGCGCTTTGCCCAGACCTCTAACCCACCCCACCCGGCTCGCAGTATTACACTGAAATCATGGGCAGGGAAGTCACGTATCCCTTCTTGACCGAGCACGGCATCACGCTCAATCATGCCATGCATCGTGCGTACGACAATGGCGATTTTGCGCTGTGGCCGAGGGTGAGTGCAGTGCGCACGATTGCCATGCTCACATGATTCGCACGCACGCAACGCACGCACCCACGCACGCACGCGCTCATCGCACCCACGCACGCACACACGCACGCAGGGAGAAGACCTCATCGTGCACTACTTTATGCCAAAGATGCTCAAACGTCGAGCTCATCACGGACAAGTCATTCATCGGTCTCACTTTCGCGTGCAGGACGAGTCGGAGCTGCCCAATAAGCAGCTCCTCATGTTTCACTACCAGCAATGCGTCATCAAGTACCTGCGCGGCTTTGCTGCTGGATTCGACAGCGGTGGGGATGCACAAGTGTGATGGGGGAAAGCGGAGGCGAGGGAAGCGAGAACAAAGGCAAAAGGAATGAAAGCGAGGGCGCAGGAAGCGAGAAGGAAGAGGAGGAGCAAGAAGAGCGACGAAAAGTGCAAGCGCGCGCACCACCGCCATCGCCGCAGCAGCGCAACGTTGCGGTCGATGTTAGCCTGCACGCTTGCGCATGCACACGCATTCATCATCAGATTCCTCCATTGTATTCTTGCGTCACCAACACAAATGTCATCCTTTTACACTTTGGGGTTTGCGGTGCGCGCGCGCGTGTGTGCCGGGCGTGCATCGTCCCGCGAATCAATGCCATTGTGAGTGGTGCGCCCAGTTGGATCTCCTGCTCCTGATGATGTAGCCTCACACACTGCGCGTGTGCCCACGCATCGCATCATCGCCATCGCCATCGCCATCGCCATCGCCATCGCCATCGCCATCGCCATCGCCATCGCCATCGCCATTCTCCTCCTCTTCCTCCACCAGAACGACACCCATCGCCCGTGCCTCTCTTTTCAATCTTTCCACTTCCTTTCCAAAAACAGCACCACACGTGACGCAGCTCTTTCTTGGGGAACAAAAGATGGACAAGCATCGACTGCAGACGTAGCCCACTTCGACGATGCGGCGGTGACAAAAGCAGCTGGCGCGAAAGTCGATGGTGGAAGAGTTTGGAATGACGAGGTGAGGACGGATGGAGCTTGCTGGGAGGAATGCCGAGAGGAGCGTCTGGAGGAGATGCGCTGGATGGTGCAGGGCAATGTAGTTGCCG